ATGATTAGGGGTCTGGAGCACATGACTTATGAGGAGAGGCTGAGGGAACTGGGATTGTTTAGTCTCCAGAAGAGAAGAATGAGGGGGGATTTGATAGCAGCCTTCAACTACCTGAAGGGGGGTTCCAAAGAGGATGGAGCTCGGCTGTTCTCAGTGGTGGTTGATGACAGAACTAGGAGCAATGGTCTCAAGTTGCAGTGGGGGAGGTCCAGGTTGGATATTAGGAAACACTATTTCACTAGGAGGGTGGTGAAACACTGGAATGCGTTACCTAGGGAGGTGGTGGAGTGTCCTTCCTTGGAGGTTTTTAAGGCCCGGCTTGACAAAGCCCTGGCTGGGATGATTTAGTTGGGAATTGGTCCTGCTTTGAGCAGGGGGTTGGACTAGATGACCTCTTGAGGTCCCTTCCAACCCTGATATTCTATGATTCTTTGATTTCTTCTTTTGATATTCTAGTAATTAGTTCATTTTAAAAGACAATACTAATTGTGATGGGTTTTTTTATTGGTCACCGGGTTTTTAGCAGGAATGTTAGCATTTCTTGAATAGCATGAAAGAGTTTGATTGCCATGTGTGTTCCACAATGAAATTTGATTGGGTATTAAATATTCTGAGAAGCGACTATTTTTTCTTATAGTTTTGGAGCTGTCAGCCTATCGCTTCATTACCTAATATGCTCTGTTCAAACCCTGACCCAGCTGTGATATAACATAGATGTAACATAGGTCATTGTGCCAAAATATAGTTTATGAAAAACTTAGCAAGCATGGTAAGGTCATATTTGTTTGTATTATCTGTTGTATGTGTTGAATAAGACACTATTGCGTTGTTGACACTAAGTCAAATCACCAGATGTTGGAAGAGATTTGGCTGCAAATCTCACTAGAAAAAGTTAGAATTTCAAGTTTTACAGTTTTTTTGCAAATTCCTGGGGCATGAATCTCCTCATAGAGGAGATGAACCATTTCCACCGAAGTCAATGTGGCTCACTTGAAACCCCATGGCGAAACTCCAGGCTCTCTGGCACTAATCCATTGGCATTAAATAAATAAATAAATAATGGAGATATCCTATCTCCTAGAACTGGAAGGGACCTTGAAAGGTCATCGAGTCCAGTCCCCTGCCTTCACTAGCAGGACCAAGTACTGATTTTGCCCCAGATTCCTAAGTGGCCCCCTCAAGGATTGAACTCACAACCCTGGGTTTAGCAGGCCAATGCTCAAACCACTGAGCTATCCCTCCCCCATTCTCTGCAACTATAATAAAGAAAATGCCTGTGGCAAAAATACTGTTCCAAAAGGAAAAAAAATTAAACTTCCATTTTGACACTATGATAAATCGAGTTGTTTTGGTCCAACTGCCTTACAGTTCTCATTCAAAAACAGAGCTGGAAGAACAGTTTTCATCAAATCATTTTTTTCATCAAAAATTAGTCTTTGATTAAACTAAATGGTTCGAGAATTTTTGTTTTTAACACTGTTTTTGGGTTTTAGCAGAAAACACAAGAAGAAGGTATTTGTGAAAACCAAATGCCTTTCTTTCCCTATTTTGTTTCACTCCTTTTCCTTTATCCATTTTGTCACTGGAAATGGAAAAAGGAAAGAGTGGGGGAAAAAGGAAAAGTAGAGGGAAAACCGGGAGAGTCAGAAAAAAACCCTTGAAAAATGAATACTAAAGCTCAACAATGTTTTGGTTTTTGTAATGGGACGGGACTCACCACTGCGGCGCCTCCTGCTGGCCATCCTGGGAATTAGCTCTCGTCCCTTCCAGTCTGCCTCCAGCTAATGATGTCACACCTGCTGTCAATGCTGTCACCACTCTTTGGACCCGCATCGCTCCCCAGACTGCAGTGTCCTCTTCTGGACACGGCCCTCCGGCTGTGCCCCCACTCTGCTTTCTCCCCCCTCCTTCCAGGGGGGACCAACAGCAGTTGCCTCAGCAACCAACTGCAATTCAAGGTCCAGCCCCTTGCCTCAGGGGCAAATTGCAGTCTGGATACCGGCCACTCTCATTGGCAAGTGGGGTGCAAGCAGGGGGAGGGCAGGTCCG